TAAATGGAAGATTCTCGTTAAACTCGAATCTGAGCAAAATGGAAAGACTAAACCGCCTAGGAAGGGAGTATATAAGAAAGAGGCAGAAGCAAAGGGACGATTTCCAGAGCTCTCATCTGAGACTTTCACAACTTTTCTAGACTTAGAATTTTCCGCACTTAGAAAGTTAGGCTTTTTCTCGACAAGTTCGGTTTCTATGACTGGCGCTCAATTACTAGACGAACTCGCCCAGGCAGTTCAATCTCTGGTCCAGCTCTACCAACTGAACTACGTTCGACTTGATCCTCGAAAGGGGTACGTAGGCAGCCTTTCATAAGGTTCAGTCCGAAATCAATCAAATCCTTTTTCTTATCTTTTTATGTCTTTTGTTATCGAGCTGCGACTCGATTAGGTTTAAGGTTTTTATGTTGATAACTCGCTGATGGCCCTGCGGCCAAAGCCTTTGTAAACCCTTGTAATGATCGCAACGCCCTTACGGGAAATCGAAATAAGATCTACTTTTTCTTTAAATTCGTTTTATTGCGTTTTTCATATTTTTCCGTATTTATTTGGTTACTTGTCGTTGGCTTTCGCAGAGGTCTGGTTCCACTGGAAAATTAGGGTTTTCTTAAGTTTCCTTATTTAACGGAAATCGACAAGTGTGAATTTCGGTTCCCACAATCGTTCCCAATCTCTTCTTTACCAATTTCATTATCTTTACCAGAGGCATCCTCCACATCATTTTCTTCTTCATCCCCATCACATTTCCCATCACCCATCTCTCCATCATTTTCTTCTTCATCCTCATCACTCGCCTCACTAGCCGTCTCAAACTTCTCATCATTCGCCGCATGCTCATTTGCATCACTTGATTATCGTTCTTCTTTATATTTTTCCGTTGCTTCTTCTTTATCTTTTTCCGTTTCTTTATCTTTATCTTTCTCCACTCCTTCTTCTTCCTCCTCTGACTGCTGCCTCTCCAAAGCTCTCGGTGGAGAAACATCATATGTTCACTGCCCAGCCACTTCTTCCTCAACAACCACCGCAGCATTCACAGTGACATCTATAGGCTCTTTATCACTCTATTGTTCTTCCGTTGTCTCCCTTTTTGTCTTCTTTCTTTCCCCTGTTTTTTCTTTATCTCCGTTTCTTCCATCGGAGTATCTTTATCACTCTATTGTTCTTCCGTTGTCTCCCTTTATGTCTTCTTTCTTTCCCCTGTTTTTTCTTTATCTCCGTTTCTTCCATCGGAGTATCTTTACTCTTACCCCTTCTTGTTTCAACCATTTTGATTCCACAAAGTAACCAAAAACAGAGGGGATTAGAGAATGAATTCGAACGAAATCGAGAGAGGACGATTTGGGGGAAAAATTAGGGTTTTTCAGTTACGAATTGGTTTCAACTCTTAGCCTTCGAAATATTTTAATCAAGTGGATTTCGAGAATTTGGTTTGGGTTTTCTTTGGTTTAACCATTATTTACGGTGTACGTTAAATTTCGGTTATGGTTCGATTTTATTCGGTTAACACTCCGGTACTTTTAGGTAAAACTCGTAAATAACTCTGTTTTCCACTGTCTTATGGTCTTTTACTATTTTTCTCAATTAAACTATATTATTTTCGGAATCGAGTTTATAACAGGTCTTTCCTTGGTTGATTCATGAGATGTGGGGGTAGCCAAGCTCTTACCTCCTGTAAGACACACACATAATAAAAAACAATATTTACTTTATAGTAGATCAAATATTGAGCTCATGTTCGTAATCGCAAGAAAAACAAATTTCACAACTACACTAAACAGAGAAAATAGAAGTTCATATTTAATAATTCATTTTACTTATTCTTTTTTTAAAAGTATTGGTACTTGATACTGAGATTCGAGATCTGGGTAAGAAAACACGCGTCTGGCTTGGGACCTTTGATACCGTTGAGGAGGTGACGGGTGCTTAAGAGAAGGTGGCACGTGATTTCCGCGGTGCTGAGGCGAAGACTAATTTACGAATTTTCTTGAGATGAATGAAATGGTGACCACCGCTGGCGGCGGTTTCACGCGGAGCCCTAGCCAGAGCATCACTCTTGACTGCGCTTCTCATCCGGCGGCAGTTATATCGGCGACCGCTAGGACTGTTCCATTTCAACTTGAGCTTAGTTTCGGCGGCGGCGCGTGTTACCAGATCCCGACGACGCATCCTGTTTACTTTTTGGACCTTTTGGGAAACGGAGGTCGTGGTCAGCCTCCAGTGTCGTCCGCGTTTAGGTTGCCCGTGATGAATGTACCAACGATGATGGCTTGTGGTGCCCAGAGAAACTCTGTTTCGTCATCGGTTGTCAATTTTGAAGGTGGGATTGAGAAGAGATCGCAGACGTTAGATTTAGATCTAAACTTTGCTTTGCAGCTGAGAGAATAATTTCACGTATTATTTTTTTTTCTCTCTCACATGTTATGTTATATATATATATATATATATAATTTTATGATTTAGTTGAAATATCTTTTGTTAACAATATTTATTATTATTTTGTAATATTTTTAGTTAATATAAAATTTTAAAATATAAAATTTAGAGTAATGTTTTATATTAATTATTAATAGTTTAATTTAATTTATTTTGTACAATTTTAGATATATATATATATTGATTAAATTTGAGTGAGTTTGGGTATTTCATGTCTTTTTCAGATTTTAAATACCCGGATCCGATCCTGACCCGATCCGGACCCGATATGGATCTGAAATTTATGGGTATTTTATAGGTATTGAAATTATGGACTGGAACCCAAAAAGACCCGATCCGGAACCCACCCGGAAATCATAGGTACCTATATGAGTCTAAATCTCCAAGATCCGAAAGATCCTGACCCGATAGTACTCTATGAATCAATCCATTGATTGTGGACGGCTCAGCTGCACCCACTTCACCAAGCAATACATCGCCAGTAATCACTCCACCAATCTCTGAAGATCATGTCTACGCGGAGCAATACAACAATGACTTTATCCACCGTCGTCCATGATATTTCCATGCACGATACTTCTATCCATGGCATTTATCCACAAAGCCCTCTTACACGATACTTCACTATACAATTATGTTTTTTATGTGGACGATGTATTTGGTAAGATTATGTAGACAAAGTTATGTAAACGAGATTTCGTAGACAAGCTTATGTGAACAAGGTATATTTAACAGTGAATATAAAATGGTGGAATAGATGAAGTTATGTGGACGAGATTTCGTAGTCGAGGTTATGTGAACAAGATATAGTTAATTGTAAATGCAAAAAAATAGAGTTGTTATGTGAACGTAATAGAAAATTCTAAATATAGTTTTGGTAACATTAAAAAATCTAATTTTGTAAAGGAAGAAGATGATATACGAACTGTTTAGCTTAGGTTGAGCCATGATGATTTGATTTTTCTGTTGTCAACTCAAGTATATATTTAAAATTTTCTATCTTTTTTTATGTTTTAACAATTTGAATATATAAAACATTTTTTTAAAAAAAAACTATAAAACATGAATTTTATAATTCTGAGACATAGAAAAATATAAACACTAAGCAGATGTACTTCTTCATGCTTATATGTCTACATGTAATTATTTATGTTTTTCAAACATCCACATATCACTCATCCATAACATAATCATTAGGTACATGTATAGATTTTAAAATATAACAAAAAAATAAATCAAAGTGGATATCAAATTATAGAGAATAAAAAAACATAATTTATTATATCAAAAACTTTTTTATATGTATCTTGAATTTTAAAATAAACAAAAACAAATTAAGCTAAATAATTATAAAAACTTACTTTATCTTTCCTCTCTTTCATCCCACCAACGATAAATCCGTCAACTCTCTCCTTAGAGCAGCTGCATCAACGTACCGGAGGAGAGAGGTTCATCAAGAATATTTTTGATTTTTTTATTTTTTTTGTTTTCTGTTTTCTTTAAAAAAAAAATAATAATAATAATAATAATCCTACCAATCGCGGGCCGCCACGTGTCGTGGGGCCCGCGAAACAGTCAAGACACGGGTTCACTGGGTGACCTCGCGCGACGCGGGTTCGTCGAATTTGGATTATTTTAATATTTTTGTTTTTCGAAAAACGTGTGAACCTGTGCTGTGATACTCTGATGCAGCTGCTCTTAGTTCTAATAAAAAAGTGTCTTGCGAGTGCATTATGCCTATGGGTGTAATTGAAAAGTGATAAAGTGTCTATAGATGTAAAAAAATCATTAAATTTTGTGCAACTTAGAGTAGTTTTGATACGAGTGTTAAAAAAAAAATATATTTTTGAAACGTTCTATCTAAATCCTTATAACTTTCTGATAACAATTTATATAGTTGAAATAACTAAATTAAAAATTTCATACAGAAAACGTTAAATCTATCGAAAACTATTTTTAAAGTCTATATAATTATATCCATTAAACCAATTTATAATTTTTTTTAATTTTTGCATCACTTTTTATATCTATTTATAAGATTTATACTCTTTAACTTAGCTATTAAAAACACACAATAATATATATATAGTATATATAATTATAAATTTTTAAAAAATTTACTGCTCTAGTTTTTAATAAGTCTGAGAAAACATTTAAACGAGATTAACCTAACCACACTCGATCTGAAAAGTAGTATCGAACCTGAAAAAAATCTATTAAACTTTTTGCAATTGAATTTATTTATGTAAATATATTAATTATCTTTGGATTTATTATAAAAATTAAATTTTTAAGATATCTTTAAAAATTTTCAAAGCACCTGAAAATATAAGAATTAAACATAAATATCAAAAGGCAATACTAAAAATTTAATAATACTTGAAATATCTATTGATTTTCCATCCAAATATTCAACCAAAATTAAATTTAAGGAAAATCGCATAAAAAATCTTCAGTGACATTTTAAACCTTGAACTCTTTCACTAGCATAATAAACCTTCAAGTTGACTTTTTTAGCATAAAAAACCTTCAACCTGGTTTACTTGTTCATTAAATTATGACTTGTTTACCCACAATAGAAGGTATAAGTATATATATATATATATAAATATATATATATATATTTTAAATAAATAAATATTTATTTAAAACTAAAAATAAATAAAAATTAGAAAACTACAGAAAAATTCGAAAATTTAATTTAATTTTTGAAGAAAATTCTTAAAAATTATATAAAACTCTAAAATATTCTCACAAAAAAAATAATTCAAACTTAATACCATTAAAAATTACATTTTTTTCGTGATATCATCATTAAAAGTAACATATTATTTGGTTATATATATAATTTAAATAGTATAAATAATTATAAATTTAAAAATATTTACTTCTCGACTTTTTAATAAGTCTTAGAAAACATTTAAACAAGATTAACCTAACCACACTCGATCTGAAAAGTAGTATCAAACCTGAAACATATCTATTAAAAAATGTTGAAATTGAATTTACTTATTTAAATATATCAATTATTTTTATATTTATTATAAAAATTAAATATATAAGATATTTTTGAAAATTTTCAAAGCACCTGAAAATGTATACAATAAAACATAAATATCGTAAGTAGTTAAGAAATACTAAAAATCTCATAATGCTTCAAATATCTAATTATTTTCCATCCAAATACTCAACCCAAATCAATTTTATGTTAAGTATAGGTATTTTGACATACATTCAAATTTATATGTTATATATTTTTTATTTTTAGATTTTTAAAAATTAATTACATACAAATTTAAATTATTTTAAAAATAATGAAATGTGCTCTAATATGAATTAAACATGCAGGAATCCGGACCAAATTCTAATTGAAATTTATAAATACCAGAATAGGACTTAAATCTTTAACCTCAAAAATTCTAAAACCGAATAGACATGTTAACTGAATCTGAATTTCCACCTCTAATTTTAAAGAAAGAATTAAAAAAAAAATATTTAACAAATAATAATATAGATTGTAAAGAGTATACGTATATAGGCAAAAATAAAAGTAAAAATAAAAATAAAAACAAAACAAAATTAACATATTTTGATAAATATTAAATTGATGTAAAGAAATTTTATTTTTATATTTGTAAATTATATAAAAATGTTATTAATACGGACTCGCGCGTAGCGCGAATGATAATCTAGTAAAGGAAAAAAAGGAGCAATTGACACAAAAAAAAAAGAACGGAGAAAAAAAAAAGGAAAGAAGCCAATTTAGAAAATTGCGCGATTGGAGGGAAAGCCACTAAGAAAAATAGGAACAAACACACATTTAAAGAAGAAGAATAAGCCAACCCAAAAAAAAAGCTCCAGACAAAACATTTCAATGGCCATTAACGGTGACGTCAAGGTTTCAGAAACAGCTTCGGATAGGCCTGTTAGAGTCTACGCTGATGGCATCTATGATTTGTTCCACTTCGGTCACGCTCGCGCCATCGAACAAGCCAAAAAATCGTCTGTACCTTTCATTCAATCTCTGCCTCTTTTTTTTTTATTCGATCAATAAATTAATCAAAATAACTTACTATAATATAAGCAAACAAAACAATTAGGTTTCCGAACACATATCTGCTCGTAGGATGTTGTAATGACGAGATTACCAACAAGTTCAAAGGTAAGACCGTGATGACAGAGTCCGAGCGCTATGAATCTCTCCGACATTGCAAGTAATGTTAACCTAGATTATATATAATATGTTTGGTTTTATTTATATAATGATGTTGTTGTTGTTGTTGTTTTCATAAACAAGTTATATAATATTTTTGTTGTTGTTTTCATAAACAAGGTGGGTCGATGAAGTGATTCCAGACGCACCGTGGGTTCTCACCACAGAGTTTCTCGATAAGCATCGGATAGACTACGTAGCTCATGATGCTCTTCCGTAAGATTCGCTAAAGAACAATTGCAAAAAAGGTTAATGCTTTGTATGTTGTCTAACTGTATGTCACTGTTTTCGTGTTACGCAAGTTATGCGGATGCTAGTGGAGCTGGAAACGATGTCTACGAGTTTGTAAGTTGCTTCTTTTGACTATCTCTTCTGATTCATGCGGTTTCTGAGCGGTTAGCTTGGTTTTTGTAGGTGAAGTCTATTGGGAAGTTTAAAGAAACTAAACGAACAGAGGGGATATCGACATCAGACATAATTATGAGAATAGTGAAAGATTACAACCAGTATGTGTTGCGTAATCTGGACAGAGGATATTCAAGAGAAGAACTCGGTGTCAGCTTTGTCAAGGCATGCTTTCCATTTTTAGTGTCTCCCTGATATGATGTGGTAATGCTATTATCCAACATGATGCAACTAACATATTTATGATGTGCTTGTTTACTACAAACAGGAGAAGAGGCTTAGAGTTAACGTGAAACTAAAGAAACTGCAAGAGAAAGTGAAAGAACAGCAAGAAAAGGTTGGAGTTGATTAATCTTTATTCGTTAATGATACTGCTTTGTTTGGTGAATTCACATAACTAGGGAAGAAATTGAAATTTAATCTTATATCTAGAGGTTATAACAACGGTGGTCCCTTGTATGACTTTTGAATCCTTGATCTATTTCTTTTGTATGTGCAGATACAAACCGTAGCAAAAACTGCTGGGACGCATCATGACGAATGGGTTGAAAACGCTGATCGTTGGGTTGTTGGTTTCCTCGAAATGTTTGAGGAAGGCTGTCATAAAATGGTAAGAAAAATGACATTAGAAAGGATATGTTTTTCTCAGCTTTGGAGATTTCAAAGTTTTTCCATATATGCCAACTGATGTATGGTTGAGTGTTTGTCAGGGAACAGCCATCAGAGATGGGATCCAGCAAAAGCTATTGAGGCAAGAGTCAGAAGAGAACCGGCGCTTGATTCAAAACGGACTGGCAAATGCCAAGGAGGAACAGATTTCTGATGACGATGGGTTTGCAAAAGGAGATGAAAAGTATCATGAAGGTTCCTTAAATGAGGGTAATAAAGAGAATAAGATAGTAAAGAAATGAGAGTTTCTTGGCTAATGATCCAAGAGTTTCCAGATACATAAGAACAAAAGTGTTATAGTCTTAACAGCTAATCGCATTAGTATGCTTTGTTTTATTATTTTCAACTGAAAACAGCTGCTTCCCAAAAGTGTAATGATTCAAGAGTTTCCAGATACTTCTTTATACTCTCTGAGACTCAAGTGCAGCATAAAGCTAAAGCATTCACTAATATATATATATATATATATATATATATATATATATATATATATATATATATATATATATAATATATGATCAAAATACTCACTATGATAGCATGGAGTCTATACACAGATAATAAAATCAACCCATATATCCAACATGGTCTCGTAATAGTGCGACTTGATTTGATATATAAAAGCAAAAACCAACAACATAAAACTAAAATTAAAGTTGGATATTATATAATTTCAGCATTTGCAGAAGTTGAGAAGCTTGACATCAGCGATTGAATCTCTCTTCTTTTTCGATTTCTTGAAGTGTTTTGAAGCTGCCTTTAGTACACTATCCCATCCCTAAAACAATAAAGACATCTTATATATTAAACAGATGTCATAACTTGACTTCATGTGTGATTTTTTTAAAAAATGAACTATTACTAGAAAGTCATGTTATATTAACTCTCTAATAATCTTATCATTATTATATCTTATGAAAAATCATATCTATAGTAACAAATATACGTTTAACAATTTTGTTTTGGTAAATTATCTCATACCTTCCAACTTAGTCACCCAAAATATGTCAAACAATATAAGTTTAGGAATCTTCTATTATTTATAAGGAAATATGTCAATAATAATTAAATGCATCCACAATATATTAACAAAAATCACATATTCGTAATATGGAAAATTTATATACCCTAACAAAGTTTACATGTTATATATACTAGGTAAATTTATTTCGATGTAAATTTTTAAAATTATATTGTTTTAAAAAAAATTGTTTAAAAAAATCTTTTTTAATAAAATTCTTTCTAATATTAATTTATGAAGCTATAAGTTTAGTTTTTAGCAAAAAAAAAAATCGAAGATTATATTATCTTTGAAAATTAAAGTATACTAATATTTAATCAAGCTCTATTTATATTAATTTATCTAAAAATGAAATACTAATCTAACAAACAATAAAATATAGAAGAAGAAACAAACACATGTTTGAAAAAATATGTATAATATAGAAAATTTGAAATAATCTATTTGATTAAAACACGTATTATATAATATTATTATATTTGAAAAATATTTACTATACATATCGTAAATATGTGATTACTATGATATATACCAATTTACAAGTGAAAACAAAATGTTATATAACTAACTATAAACGAAAACAAACATCCGCGCGGTTGCGCGGGTCAAAATCTAGTATATTATTAAATTATTTTTTAAAAACAAAGATAAAGAAGATCATCATCAATATATGTACCTTGGTAGGAATAGGAAAGCAGTCAGTTGTCGGAGAATCTTCATTCTTAATCGAGGATGTCACTAACGAACTCTTTTTATTTTCTTTGAGATCTTCATCTTATTACCTTCTTGAACTCCCCGAGATCAAGGTTCCGAAAAACGCAACTGTCAGAGTCCAGATCGGAAGGGCTTGCGTAGTTTCAAGGCAAGAGAGGAGACCAGAGAGAGCTCTGTGTGTACTCAAATGCGAAAGCAGAGTTGTCTAGAAACTTGCAGAGAGCTCTTGACACATTACAGCCGAATCCAACTTTCTTTATACTGTTTATTCATATGTGCCGTTTTAGACCCAAATTTTTTTTTCATGTACACCGGTTTTCAATCTAACTCAAAAAGAGCGATTTTGGTTATAAAAGGTTATTGGATAATGGACCATAAGAACCATTAAGAAATTAGATTTAGAGTTTAAGCTAACTTCTTAAAAAAAAGTAATGAATAAACTGATTATTTGTGAATTATTTGAAAGTGAAAACATAGTTCTTACTAATACAGTGATTGGTGTATCCTAAATCCGATAATGAGTATCACAATATCAACTAATAAGAACGATTAGAAATGTCAAATGTTTCGTTTATTGAAGTGTAAGCAAAATGCCGAAGAATGAATACATAGAAAAGAACTCGTCGTCCAAATAATGACTCGTTGTCAAGGATCTTTCTCTCTCTATTAATGCTCGTTGTTCTCCCCCTTCTTCATTGACTGCTCCTCTTATTTATACTCTCTTCGATGCACCTTTTCTGCTCCATAGATGTTGTATGTCAGAGAGTCGGTTCGGATATCATCATTGTGCTATCGCTTGCGTAGGCCTCTATCTTTAATCGGCAGTCGGTACAGCCTACATCATGTAGGCTTCTGTTCCTTGCGTGCGCTGAGGATTCATCTCTTCGATTGGACCGTTCGTGGGCCTTCTTTCCCCAGCATCCAATTCGCGAATCGGCTGGAGGCCAATCCTCCAACAGTGATGCAAAATATAAAGTAAGCAAATATAAATGAATTCGAGGGTAAAATGATTATATTTTTGATGTTTGAAGTTGGGATTTGATATACCTTTGTTTATAAAGAATTTGATCATGGTTTAATTCCATTGTTAAAGTTTATTATATGTGTTTTGACTCTGTTTTAAGGTTTTTGTAGGTTTATGTACGTTTTGGAGCATTTTAGAGATTGTAGAACTATTTGAGCATCAAGAAAAGTGAAGGCGAAAAGTTGAAGTCGATGTTATGATTTGGAGTCAGTGTCTATCGACACTTACAATGGAGTCCCGCGGTTGATACCCATGTTGTTCGAGTAAGTCGACATAAGTCTTAGTAATTGTACTTCAGCCCAGAAGTTGCCAGTATTTACCAAAAACCTCATGGCGTGTTTTTCCCTATATTTAGTATTTTAATTTCAGCCGTTGTTTAGGCTACATTTTATTCTATGCATATGTTGATTTCTACAGAGTTTTTGGAGAGAATGTTCATACTCCTTGAAATGGAACTTTAGTTTTTCTATATTTTATACTAGGGTGTAGTGTGCGCTTCGCGTGGGTTAGGCTTCGTAAAATATTTCTAGTGACATTTAATTTTGGGAGGAATTTTATTATATATGGTTCTTTATCATTTTTTAAAAAGAAACTAAAAAAATAAAAACATTTTTTTTAACAAAATCAATAAAATATAATAATAATTTCTTTCCAATTTTCTATTTTGTTTTTATTCATTTTCTTTATTTTTTTCTTATTACCATATAATGATCACTAGTTTGAATATAGATATTCTATCATATAAAGAACATACATTTTCTAAGACCAAAATAGTTATATAAGGAAGACGTAAATATTTTACTTTTTTGGAAGCTTAGTTTTAGTGGTTGATTAAACGCTTTGTTTGACCAATTATTTGTTACCAATTGTTTTCGTCAGACTAATTTTCATATTAACATTTTCATGATTATTTTATTCTATTCAAGAATGTAAGTTTGTTTGTTTTATTTAAGTATAGCTATCTAATGTCATATCACCTATTATGTGGTTTTTCTCACTATTTAAAACTTATAAATATTAACTTTAATTTTGTTTGTCATAATTTAATGTTGCTATTTATTACACCATTTATAAAATCATAAAATTTATTAAGAGTTTTAAATTGTAGGTTTATTCTCAATTTAAATTTTACTATTATATATTATTATATTTATTAGAGATTGTAAGTACCGATACAAGTTTGTCTCACCTTTAAAAATAGTTCATTCAAGTGTAAGTGTTTTACAGTTTTCTCAAATTTAGTTCTATTTTGAATATACAGTAATTAAAATAAATTTGATGGTGAATCATCAGAAATATATATGCGTTAAGAATATATATATATATATATGGTAATACATTGGGGGGATTCACCACATGGCTATGGATTGTTGGGACAAACTCTGTTGAACTGTAGTAATCAAAATTCATATTTGAGTGTTGAGTTCATGGTTTCATTATAATTGTGATGATGTTGTCCCTTATCCTTCGTATATCATTGTCGTCCACTATTATTAGTAGTGGTTCGAGCAAACCCTACTCCTAGCTTTACTCTCCAAGGCTTAATTACTTACTGATCTTGTTTCTCAAATTTATTTTTGTTGTTTACGTATTTTGAGATTCTTTATTTTGATTACTTAATTAATAGATCAAAAACTTTAAAGGAAGAGGTGGTGTGATCCTGAGCAGGCTCAAACTCAAGGGATGGGATCCATGGTATGGTATAGCTAAGACACTGATCAAAGCTTGGCTGAATGGGCAGTTTAAAGGTCTCACTGGTATGATCTATGAGGTTCTAGATAGAGAGAAGAGAAGAACTCTTGGTACTGCCTTGAAACAACTTGAACAAGGTGGATTCAAAGATCTGAGCTTAACAAGAGCAATGGAGACCATTCACGACGTCCAAGTATGTATGAGAACAAGCAAAAACATGTCAGGAAGTTTCTTGATTTGATAAGATTTGAAGTTGGGCGAAATAAGGGTTTTTCGGGACAAAAAAGAGAGTTGCAACCAGAATCTTTTTCCACTTGCTTTCTTGCTGAACCAACAGGACGTAGAGGATCTAAAGACCACTAGGAGACACTCCAAGAGCAAGTTCAAGTCGTGGCAATCATAAACCAAAGAAGAACCAGCTTTTTGGTTTAATTATTTTAATTGTAATTCATGTAAGCCAAGTTTTAATAGGATTAGGATTAGACCAAGTAATAAACCAATTTCAAATTGGATTAGGATTAGAGTTAAACTAAACCATTCTGGTTTCGGATTAGGTTAGGTTTGGTGTTTTCCTTTTATTATTGTACGCAGCTGAAACTAAGAAATCAATCAACGTTCTTATCATCTTCTTTGTTTTGAGTTTTCTCAATTCTGCTGGTGTGTAATATCCAGACTTGGTTCTCTGATTTTGTGTGTAATATCCAGACCAGAAGATTTGGAGTATCAGGAGTCAAGCCATTCCTCTTATGTCCCACATCAATCCACAAGCCTTGAAGCAGATTGAGTCTTTG